TCCATATGGATGTGCAAGAGCGCGTAGCATCGTAGTTACGGAGAGTCAAATTTCGCTTAAGGAAGCTAAGCTACGCACGTGGTATCATTAGCTAATCTGTTCACTTATTTCGTATGGCACTGTGACGTAACCGCCTGAAACTATGGAACTATACATTCATGAATAATATAAAAATTTCTTATAAATATGGGGACAAAAAATGTCCCCTTTCTACTATATAGGGTGTTTTAAATGTGTAGACGACTGATGACACTGATTCTGGATAAATCATGCATATTCTTGAAATAACGTTGTTTACTTCGACACTATACAAACTTTTCGGTGTCAAACTGCACCGAATCATTTTCAAGGTAGGATTAATTCATTTTATTTTGATGATTTACCGCTGACTAGCTGACGAGGGTAGTCATAACAGCTTTACCAGATAGTCGGTACTCTCGGTGGAACAGGGAAAACTTTGATACCGCAACGTTGTCACGTAGTTGGGGACTATGCACTAAATGTATGGGCTTACGAAATGATGACAACCTTGCATGGGAAGTGCCGTGTCAACCTACTCGAAGTCATTTTTCGTTTACTCTTCTTCCTCTATTTCTGTTAGACTATGCTACATACATACTACTAGCTACAATAGCTCCCAGCATCGTCTGTCAACTCTGGAGAAAATCATAAATATGAAGCAATTAATGCATGATTACCGGGTATCCATTCTGATTACATACTATTCTATTCATCAAAGCAGTAGCGTCATACCCTGGAGGCTGATAGAGCAAATGCTTCTTTCGTAATTATAATCAGGCTTGTCTGAACATCGGTGAAGAAACATAAGTAATCGAGGATAGTTTGAAAGTTTCTATACATTAGTATAACAGACATCACAGCTCCAGAAGAGCTGATTTCTGTTTATACTGAAGCTGCACTATTTTATTCCAAGTTCTTAATAAAAATTCGGCAGAATAAGGTATTCGCACGATCATTAGATGAAGTCTTAAATGTTAAGATTGTTAGAATGGCTTTTTTAAATCGACTTGTCTTTGGAAAGTAACTAATTTTATTTAATTTTGTTACAGGTACGTAAACAATCAAGTGGTGAATCACCCAGCCCTCTCGTAAGTTACATTGGAATCATTTCCAAACACACTATGTCAGGGTAGGCAAACCTTTATCGATCAACGTGCCATTTTTTTAAAGAAATGTTTAATATTAATATTTTGACTTAGGAAAATTGGGAAAATAATAATAATAAATATTATTAGCTCTTTATTTCTGGGAAAATAATAATAATAATAAATATTATCAGTTCTTTATTTGCTACAAAAAACGGTACATTTTGCAATGTTTCAATTAAATCGTCAAAGTAAAATTAGTGTGACTTCTGTTGTTGCAGATTAGATGATAAATAATTTATATCAGGGTTGTAAGATGTTAATTTTAGCGGAATGCATGCTGAACTGAATTCGTCTGTTAAACAGTTTCTAACCGAGTCTTTAATATTGTTCATTTCTGAAAATAATTACTCGCAAGCATATTTAGGCGAAAATATCGTTAATGTAGCATGATCCAGCTTCTTCAAACAGTTAAATGTGTCCGGTAATGCATTCCACGTTTCCAAAAGTTTGTTATTAGCATTTTCACTTATATCACTTGTCAATCTTTCTGTTTCTATTTGTTCTAACTTTATCCTTGTTTCAATAAATTTTTGAATCCATATTGAACCGGACTGGATATCAATCAGCTGCATTTCGAATTCTTCGATTTCCAAGCAATCGAATCGAGACAAGTTCAATTTATTAAATGACGTCACGTCCTTGATTATTTCCGATAATTCCTTAAACTGTGTAAATCTCGCAGAAAATTCCGATAGTTCTCTCTCGGATGTTTAAAGCAGAATGCCAGACTTGGTGCGTCGGAACAGTCGATATTTGTGATTAGGATAATATTCTTCCCACTTTTTCTCTTAATGCAAAATGATTTAGTGACTGGTGACGTGCCCAAAATATTGTGTTGCGTGCCATGAATGGTACGCGTGCCTTTGGTTCGCCATCCCTGCACTATATGTTTATAGTCATTATTATAAAGTTCGTTATGAATAACTACAAAAAAGGTCGATTTTAAGTTCAGAAATTACACCATGTTGTGTAAAATTTCATCGTCAAGGGTAGCGGTTACAACCGCAAATTTTTAAATAGGACTTGCATACTTAGAGGCTCAATTGCAAAAGTGCAATCTTTTGATTTTTTTCATTAAGACTATAAGGTCAAAACTGTTCTATAATTGGACGAGTCTGCTGTAGTGAACAAATAAATAAATATTTATTCAGCTGCTAAGAGTATTTATAAAAACTATCACGTATCCTATGCTATTCTGTCCGTCTATAACGGAATGTACCGCTCAGATCTTGATGAAATTTTTAAACAATGTTACTTATATGCCAAAATCGGAAATGTATTGTAGTTTTTGAAAATTGACCCAGTAGAAGCGGAGATAGGGGTAAAAAACGGAAAAAAATATAAATATCGCTAAATCCTCGTTTTTTGATGATAAAATGCTCCTGATCATTTTCTATACGGTTTAAAAATTGAGGGTTGGAGATTTTAGGTGTGGGAGGGGTATATTTAATTTTTTGGTGTAAGTATGTTTATAGACTTGCAGCCTTGGTTTCTATATCCACCTATTAAACGTATTTCACACATTATATACTGACGGTAGGGCAGGGGAAAAATTTCTAGATCGCAGCGTCATCGAATGGGTCGGCACTACTGACTTGATCCGTTTTTTCTTTATTATACACTTTCGTTTTTCTCAGATTGGCTATCTTGTGTCGATCATAATCCTTTATGAAATGGTGACGTGGAAAGTGCAGAAACAAGCTACTTGACGTAATTGTTTGACCAGCAAAAACGTATTCACTGCAATTTCTATAGTAGAAAGATCAAACAAGCTTCAAAAGCATGCATTGTTGGTTCAAATCACATCTACTTTATATAAATTTACGCCTCAGTCGCTGGTAAGGAAGTAGCTCAGCCTGTTCTTATTTACGATCTGGGAGAAATAGTGTAATAACGTAATTTGTTAATAAATTCAATTTTCTCTTGCAACAAGCATGGCGGAGAATAAACGCTACAGTTAATCACAGCGTTGCTCAGTGCCTTGATAGAAAATCTGAGTGAGGATTGCAACGATGAAGATGAAGGAGTGTGAGACAAAGTTTTCGTATCTCCTGTCATAAGGAGGGTAATCTGGCTCACAGATAAAGGTCAGAAGGGTGCAAGCTGCAAACTAAAGAACTATTAAGGCACTTGCATAGAAAACTCTATTTCTGAAATCTATAATATAGACTTACACTTCGGGGCAGTGTCTTTGGACCTCTTATGTTTTTAATTTATATTTATGACCTGCTATGTATGTTGACACAGGCAAATTGGTTCATGAAAAAAATCTCGAGGAGGTTATCCGATAATGTGAATAAGATAATCAGATCGTATAAAAAATGATTCTTTTAAAACGTTACTATTATTATATTGAAAGCTCTATATAGAGTTTCGCCATCCACGTGCTTCAACATTCATTAGTAACTTTGATATCAACAGCTTGCAGATATCGTCTAGTAATCATGTAACAACACTAGGAAAATATTTTGACACACACCTCAGCTTCTCTCAGACAGCGTATGTGAGAAGCTGAGCATTTAGTATATGTAATAACGTTCAGATCATTACTAAACAATGAAAATTTATTAACAGTAAATTACTCGACGGCATATTCAGCGATATCTTATGGGATTGTCGTTTGGAGACAGCACTAGCTATCTATGAGACGCACGATATTGCATACGACTCGCCCAGCTAAATACTAATTATTAATTGACGTATTAATTAGGGTGACTTGCACAGCTAAATACTGATTATTAATTGTTGTAATGCAGGAGCAATAAATATTTTATTTCATGATTATTGAATAACGCGTCCCGAAGGGCAGAATATTCTGGGTTGGCTGGTATATATCTGCTGCTGCACAGAGGTAAATAGCAACATGCAGTTCGACGACCGAGACTCCGATGCAGATCGCAGAATATATCGACGCGCCGCACTGGCCGGACAAAGATTAGTACAGGGAAAACAAACAAGGAAATCATAAGGATCATTTAATTAATAGAATAACAATTCCTAAGTGCTGGGAATGCATATTCGTGCCAATTCACATCTTTAGAAAATTTGACCCAAACTACGTATGAAAGGTTAACCAATACTTCGTAGAAAGCGAAGGCACCACAAATCTTTTCTTATCTGAAAATAGAGAAGCTCTACATTTTTACGGATATTCATTCATCTAAACAAATCTTTAATCCCACATATCTGGGACATTATTGATCCGATTCTAGAGAAATTTTGCACAATAACAAAGCTATTGCTTCTAATGCAAAACTAGTCGGACTTTTAAAATATCCAGAGCCGATCTAGATTTTTTAACCTTCACATATTTTAATCTAGATATTGGACTGTCTGACCACCCACAAATGAGCCAATAAATGGTGCTTGTTAATTATAAAAATAGAATGATCGCGCCTCTTTTGGTTGTTCAGTTAAAAATTTTCACTTTTCTTCCTTCTTTTATGTGACACAAAACTCAAAATTCCAAAAAGTTTTCAACTTAGTTGATCGATATCTTACAAAATAGTGTTCAGAATTGAACTAAAGTTATTTTAGGAACTCAAAATGGCAGGGTCGGACACTCTGAGCTTATCACCATTATTTCGCAAAAAATAACTATATAAACGATATAAATGAAAGGCAAAATTAATGTTATGCACAATATTCACTTCTTTTGGATTCTTTTTCGACGATTTCATTCTACCAACATGACTTTTGTATGCAATTCCACTAAACTTTATATTCTAAATCCACTTGAAATTAAGTTGACAATCTACAAAAACGTAGTACGATGTCTTTTAAGTTTTGCATATGGAAATAAAACAACACGGTAGGTAGTTTTAAATTACTTTATTGTCTTTCGAAGTATTCTCCACGAAGATTAATAGACATCTGCATGCGCTCGAACCAATTTTCGAAGCACTTATTCCACTCGTTTGCTGGCAGATCCAAAACGGCATTTTGAATGCGCCAACTGCTTCTTCTGGTGACTGGAACCTTTAAACTCGCAGTCTGTTTTTAATTTTCTGGAAAGTAAAGAAATCGTTAGGACTTAGATCGGGACTATATGGATGATGGTCCAATATTTCCACGTTTTCTTCCGTTAAATACTGCCTTGTTCTTTGGGCTGTGTGCGAGCTTGCATTGTCTTGGTGGAGGATGATTCTTCTTTCGGGGTTGATTTTTCGAAGCTCGGTGATGACTTTTGGCAAACAAATGGTGGTATACCAATCCGCAGTAACAGTTCTTTGCTCATTAAGAAGAATCGTTGCAATATGACCCGCTTTTGACACAAATGTCGCGACCATCTTCGAAACACTTCGAGAACGGTTGACTTTTGTTGGCTGTTCTTCACCTTGGAACACCCAAACAGCCGACTGTCGTTTATTTTCTGATTCATAACAGTAAATCCACGATTCATCACCACTAACAATGCTGTACACATTTTTTGTATTTCCGGAATTGAAACGGTCAAGCGTTTTTTGACACCAATTAGCCCTGGCTGCTTTCTGCTCTTCAGTCAACTCGAGAAACTAATTTTCTTACTCCTAATTCTTCATGTAAATTTTTTTGAATTGAGGTCTTTGGGTGACTGCCGTTTTTGGTGCACCCACCCTGGGATCGTCGCTAAGACTCACCCGTCCACGTTTCAATTCTCCATACCAGCGGGAAATTGTCGACTGATGTGGCGCTTCGTTGCCGAAGACAGACAGTAATTCAGCAGGGCATTCTTGTTGCGATAATTGTCTCTGAAAGTTGTAATAAATTATGGCGCGAAAATGTTCTCGGTTGAGTTCCATTTTTCTAATGACTTGGTGACACTTAAAAATTCACTGTAGTGAGAACACTGCACGTATCGTTGTGAAACTTTGAATTTAAGTTTACTAAAGACTGAGGTTAAGATTCAGTACTGAGGTTCGATCCGCGCGGCCTACCATGTTTCTATATGCAAAACTTAAGAGACTTAAAGACTCGAGACTTGCTTGTGTGGTGTACCTATGAGTACATTGTGAACCTGAATCTAATATAGAGTTCTGGTGACATAAAGTATGCTCAAGATGCTGGTATATTGTTGAAACCGAGGGAGTAGAAACACTGAGAGTCGTAATTCTCTTGCCTTCCGAGGAATTGTATTTCTTAACACTGGTAGAAGAGTCGCTTCCCGAGTCATTCTAGAGAGAAAAATGTCGCCGTCGCTCACCAATCTTAAATCTAAAGACGAAAATAACATTGTGGTGAAATGCTTAACAATATTGTCACGACTGTGTCTTGCAAATGACTGATAATAATAAAACATAGAAATCGACACAAATAAACTCTCTTTAATATACAAAATAACGGTACTTACTATTAATTTGGCACTGTAGAGCGTAGCTGTTCTCTGAACAAGGTGAAATGGCAAGAGGGGGGACTGTCCCCAGAGCGGAAATACCAGCATTAATCAGCTAAATTAGTTCTTATAATCATAAGTAATATGATAGGGGCATCTAATTTGTCCGAAAAAATCTAAAAAATACGTTGCTAAGTGATATTTTTTGCACCTGCGCGAATGTTTTAGGTTAAAAAAATATTACTTTGGTTAGTTTTTTCGATTTTTTCATATGAAAACATTAGATGCCCGAATGGTATTTGACAAGACTATTTCATGAGTAATAGATTATTCTGCATACACATAGCTTACAATATTACAAAATTTATTAACAATAAAATCAGAAAAATTGCTTAGCGCCGTTTTCTGGTGTCCTATAAACCCATAATTACCTGTTATCAAAGGTATTGTAATTTTTGGTGACAGCAGCTGTCAAGTTTTGCCGCGGGTAGACTCAAAAAACATACAATTTTTCCATCCAGAAACCATTTGCAATTCAAAATTGCGTGTTTGTGATTGGTATAAATTAAGACGAAGGAAATGGTCGATACAATTTCACTTCGGCTGATTATGTATACGCATCAGCGGATGCGGTTTAGAATATCTACTTGTGAACTAGCGAATGTGTATAAGGTTTTACAGGGTGGTCACCCGTAACAATCTAAAGAACCTGAAAACGTATTTTGTCGAAAATTGATGCGTTCACAAGCTCCTTTCCTAAACGTCAACAGCTGTCAGAATTTGGGATCGTACTGCAGAAAGCGGTTATCACTAACTAGCTGCACGATGCGATTTTGCGGTTACAAGGTAGTACCAAAAGGGGCGCCTAGATGCTGAATGCTTGCATGGGATTTTTCTTCCACACGCTCTAATGTTCCTGACCTACAACGCTTGCGATAGTGGCCTCACCAGCAGCAACAGCAGGGGCAAGATCTGAAGCATCGCTGGATCCGGTTTCTCCTTTGACCAGAAAATAGCTGTATCAGAGGCGGAACAATGGGGCAAATGTCTGAAGAATGCATTTTAGGCAATCAAAAACAAAAGACATAAATATATACACGAGGTTTCCTAATGGAAGGTCAATATTTAAAGGGGCGACGTTTGGGTCGATTTTAAGAAAACGAAAACTTCATATGACCTTATGTCGTAAACGTCATCTTTTTAGATCCAGAGTAGTAAAAATTTCAATACAAATAGTCAGTGGGAGGTAAAAATCTAAATAAGTATTAATTTATGAAAAGATTTGTACTCGTAAGCTGTGGTGTTGGGTATTTTAAGAATGCTTTTTATTTTAAAGAGAAATCAGTTCCGTGCCATCAATGTCTGCCAAAATAGGCAAGTCAAATTACGTGTGAACGCCACTGGTTTTACAGGGCATTCTAAATACCAGTACACAGTGTCTGTCAAACTTTCTGATAAAACAAGGGAAATGATACACCTCAATCATAATTTTGATAAAAAGTCATGCGAACTAGCTGTGAGCAGTTGGTAGATGTCACATTCCATACAAATTGACGTAAACGGGCCTTTCCAATTTCGGTAATATCTCACACACTTTTTTCCATCCAACGTCGATTTAATTAAAGGAAAGCCCTTTATAAAAGCAAAATTGAGACCCGAACGGGGTAATATTTTACGCATAACCATTTATTTCTGCCTTAATGGGCAAACACCGACCCATAACTGTTTAATATTTAAATCTTTGTTTTTATAACCACCTGTACTGTTATAACCGATCCGAAATCATCTCACGAACTTCACAGAGAACGTGACGCAGCATCAAATCATGGAAATGTTCCTCAAACAGCGAAAAAATTGAGCAAACAAAAAAAATTGCGTGGACCAATTTAGTGCGGTGTGTAAACAGAAATCGGTGAAGAACCCGGAGACGGGATTTCCGTTAGCGAGGTCAGTCATCCGTGGATCACTTAGTCTCCACATTTGGCAATACCAACGGGTTAGCCATGACAATTGCACCTTTGCGGTTTTTTACTACCAGCTTTGTTTTAACAAATTATTATCTAGAATGAAATGTATAAATAATGTGGTCTTGTTCAGGACTAAGTACGTTGTCTGGAGTCATGAACAGTTTATTGCACCGGCGGATATGCAATCACAATACACACGCCTCGCCAATAGTTCAATTTTATGTTGCCTCGAATAATGTTCCTTGATATTGCAAATCGGAGAAAAAGCACCCAGTCTAAATTGGCAGTATTGGAGGTCATTTACAGCTCCTATTGCCTTAGCTCTATGTTTTGTTCAATGGCTGGAAGAAAACACTGCGGTGCACAATGCGATTAATGTACTAGTAATCTGTGTTGATGGTATAATTTTTTGTTATAATGAGTTAGGTTACCGTAAACCGGGGTAACTTTGTGACTTGGGCTTTACTTTGGGACACCTGCTATTTTTCCCACACTTTACCATACAAAAATATTTAAGCCGCAAATATGACAACTTTTGGTATTCAATCTTGTTTATAAGATAATAATAGGAAAAATCAGTGAGTTTGGCAACAGTAGAATTGTTCCGGCAACAGCAGTGAATTTTTAGCTTCAACAAGTCGTTACACATATTTTTCAATTCTCTGTAAACTTTCCATTGGGCAGCCAAAACGATTAAAGCCACTTTATTTTTGGTAAGTACATCTTATGTAGATATATTTGGGATATGTTTTGATAATATAGCGAAACAAATAATCGACATCAAAAAATATTATGTTTGTTTACGTAAAAAATGGTAACATGTTGTACAATTGTAACAATTAGACTGCTGACGTTTGATGTGGAATCTAATTTAAAAAATATAGTGTACCAAAGTTACACTGACTCTTATTTTGTATAGCTTTTGCTTATCTCTTTCAAAACTAATAATGTCTCGCAAGCCACAGCGTCTACTTGGAGCGCGAAATTATAAAAACTATTCAGAAGAAAAACTGCAACAGGCTGTCGATTAAATTAAAAGTAAATCGATTTCTCTCCGTAGTGCATCAACAAAGTATCAGATAGCGAAAAACACTTTATGGAACAAAATCCATGGAAAGCATACTCGTAGACATGGTAGGCCGAGGGTCTTCTCGGAAGATGAAGAAGAATCAGCCGCTGGACATTTAACTGCTTTATCTGCCTTTGGTTTTCCAGTAACAGCTGAAGACTTAAAAGTTTGTGTTAAGGCTTACTTGGATAGGCAGGGAAGAAAAGTTTCAGGTTTTAACAACTATCCAGGTTCTGATTGGGTAACTCCATTTTTAAAGCGCAGATCTGAACTTAGTCAAAGGTTCTCCCAAAATATTTCGCACGCACGAGCAGGCATAGACGAGGCTGTGATTAACGAGTACTTTGATAATCTCCAAATTGAGCTGGAAGGGGTCGCTCCAGCAAACATCTATAATTACGACGAAACAAATCTCCGGGCCGATCCAAAGTTATTACAAGGAGGGGGACCAAGTACCCTGAGAAGATTCGCAATTCTTCGAAAGCATGTACATCTCTTATGCTTTGCCGAAATGCCGAGGGTTGCTCCGGTTTATATTAATTACAAAGCTCAAAAGCTATGGTCAACCTGGACGCAAGATGGTCCATTAAATGCTTGTTATAACCGTACGAGTACTGGATGGTTCGACTTCCAAGTATTTGAGGATTGGTTTATTAATTTAATTCTCCCAATTCTAAAACGAAAAGAGGGTCGTAAAATTTTAATTGGGGACAACCTTAGTTCCCACCTCAATGTGGAGGTGATCAGACAGTGCGAATTGAATAATATAAAATTTATTGCACTGCATCCACATAGTATGCATCTCCTGCAGCCGCTGGATGTAGCATACTTCCGTCCTATGAAGAGAAACTGGAGACAAATTCTAAATGACTGGAAGAACAAGGCTGGATACCTTTCCCAGACTTTTAAAAACTGTGTTGACAAGATTGGAAGAGCGCAGTGCTGAGAATCTTAAATCTTGATTCAGAAAATGCGGAATTTTCCCTTTTAATAAGGAAGTCGTTTTGAATAGATTGCACGAAAATGTGGTGGCTGACGACCCTGCAATAAAAAAACATTGTTGGCGACAGCTTTTTGGAACATCTTGCTCAAATATGTCACGAAGCCACAGCACCCCGTATTCATCGAAGAAAGAAACTCCAAGTGCCTCCTGGTAAAGGGATAACGGTTGCTGATGTACAGAATGCCTCCTCCACCGAGCCTCCCAACAATTCGCCGCAACCCTCCACATCTGGAATCCAGAACATGAGGAGCATATAAGAGCCTTCTAGAGGTTCAGATTCTGACAGCAGCTTACCTGTATTTGAAATAAAAAGCCAGAAATGTAAAAGAACAAAAAAGGATTCAGAGAGCTCAGATAGTAGCATTCAGAGTATTAAATATGCAGAAACAGACGATAGCCCTTACAATTCTGAACTGTCAGATGATGAAGTC